CAAGATAATGTCGCCAGTACAAAACATATACGATTTCGGCTTTCTTTTGCTTTCATTTTACAACAAAGGAAATGCTTTTTTAACCGGCAATCTACCGACTTTGTAAATTGAATTTATGTTTCTTTTTCTGTTGTCTTGTTCTTTTTTTTTAACCATATTGTATAATAGCAATTCGTATAAAGCGAATAATTACGGTGATAATAAGTATGTGATGATTGAGGTTCTATGTTCGTATTGATTATGTAAATATTATAGAAAATAGAATAGAGTGTTAGACTTGTTAGTTTGCTTGAACTGTTTGTTTAAAACAAAAAAATAAGCAAAAAGGCTGTCAGAACTAAAAAGTAATTTTCTTTGATTTTTGAAAATAAATTTTGAAAAAAAAAAAATAAAAAGTTATTCTTCCTCCTATTTTGTTTTTCGTTTATGTGCGTTTTATAGTATTCTGCCTGCAAATGTGGGACAAATTTAGAGTTGTTGAATTGATTAGTTAGTTCTTTATGCTATTTGAATGTACTTTCAATAATTTAATTGAAAAAATCACAAATACGAGAATTAACAAAAGAAATTAATTTTTGTTTTTTTTTTTTACAGGTAATAAAATTGTGAAACTATAAAAAAGCAGTGAATTAAAGAAGGAGTACACGTATGTATGTATATTTGTGTGTATGTTATATTTATTAAAAAAACTCAGTATTGGCCCATAAACTGATTGGCAGTGAACTAGAACGAAGATCATTAAAATTAAAGGAAACCATTCCCAAATCGAAAGTATATTTTACGTAATTTGAAAACAAATAAAATAAAAGTTTCGTAATATTTTTGAATATCAAGTTCTTTAATATCTTCTTTAAAGTATTTAAATATGCGGTAATGCAATTAAATCAAAACAGCTGTTGTTAGATTGGTGACTTTCAACCATTGTCTTATATTAAGAGGAAACTCTTCTAATATTATTAAAAAAATGGAAGTATTGTAATTATGAAGTGCGGTTTACCGGCCACGTGAGCGAACGAACCAACATTATGATATTATGAGATGATAGTAAAGGTGGAAAAACGAGAGTAATATGGCACGCAATTGTATACATATGTACATTGAAACACTTTACTATAGGAACTAAATTTTTTTGAATCACAGACTTATAATGAGAAATAATGACAGAGTAACTAATTTGACAGATTAAGAATGAAATTTGATTAATAAGTTTTTTGTTTATTTTTATTTTACGTCGATTTGCTTTTTTTCATTTCATTTAACCATCAACAAGTAAGTAAATTGAATACAGTCGACATTGTTTCGTTAATGAAAAAGAGGTAACAAATCGTCCGACCTAACTTGATTTTGCTTTTGTCTTTGTAGTTAGTTATGTAGTTAGACGGTGAAAATCATCATCAATTGGTATATTATTTATTAGCAAACCATTCAATTGCATTACGCACAAATTAATTTAAGAATTTTTTGATGAAGGAGCAATTTCGATTTTAATTTTGATTAAAACATAAATTTCTAATTTAATTATAATTATCGTTTTATTAGTTCTGGTACACAAAATCAGTAATTTAAGCATATTTTTATGTTTAGTTTTGAAAACCCTAAAATTTCACTGCCTGAAACTTGAACATTAGAAAAATATCATTGTATCATAATTTTTAATATAAATTTGCTCGACAATAATTTTTTAATTACCTAATTTCAAAGGAAATTTAAAACCCTTTAAACACAATTAAAACACAAATATTTAAAAAGGTTGTTCTTTTACATATACATATGTAATTACAATCCAAGGTTTGACGTACGGAGGCTTCTATACCTCTACTAAACTATAGGCATTATGTTACTCTTTATTCTTTATATATTTAAAATTTACTGTAGGTTTGTATAACACACAATTAAAAAAGGCGTTCAACAATTAAACAGGTATATAAAAATGAATTATATACTTTTGAAATCATTTATAAATCTGGTCTATTGTTTTCAAAAGAAAGAAAAATTAAGTACAAGAAAATTAAAAAAAAGACGTGACAAAATTCATTCGAATATTTCAAATGACACTCAAAACTGAATTTTTAATAACCTTTCTAGAATTCTAAGTAGATTTCTCACATTATTCTAAAATACATACAAGTATACCTATTGTGTTCATACGTTTATACTGATCACCTACAAAATATGTAAGTAGTGTACATATAAGGGTCGCGACCATGTTAAAACATAAATAATCTTTTTTTTCCGTAGATTCTCTGTTTAGTTTTAACTTATGCGTTTAAAAAATATTCTCAAGAATAATTATAATTTTTTTATATTATATGCATAGGTATAGAATCTTGTGTATTAAGGTCATATTGTTTTGAAAACAAACAGTTTAGAACTGTTGTGAGCATTATATTTCTTAAACAATTGAGTTATTTTAAAAAATTTTATGATTTTATAATAATTTAAAAGACTCTTCTAAGTACATACATTATGTACATTAAAACAGTATTTATTACCTTCATGCATAATTTCTCTGACATCATAGTTTTACATACTTGAACGGAATACGGAAGAAAGTGATGAACTTTTTCAAGTGATTCTCAGAGTTACACACTTCAAAATGTGCACAACAATAACATTATACTCATTTCAATTCGTTTTGTTTTTATATTCTCTTTTTTTTTTAATTTAAATGAAACATTTGTTTCATATAATTATATGGTTTCGTTATTCTAAAGTGGTTTTGCAAAAATTTTGTAACGTATGCTGTCATCAACTTCTAAAATTGCTTTTTGTTATAAAAGAAAAATTAAAATTATTTTATTGCCTCGAGCAAGGCTATCATAATTACATTTATAGTGTTATGGAAAAGTTAGTTGCATTGTCATAAGTAATAATACTATCAGATTTTTCTAATTGCTTCTAATATTGTATACATGTTCAGTATTAGAAGCAATAATAAAATATTACGTCAGTTTTTATTAGAAATAAAAATCTTCATAATCAGTTTGGGTTAAAAGTCGAATTCAGCAAAATATGGTTGATATAAAAAAGACGATACCAATTGGCTTATACCTCAAAATATTTCGAATTATGTTTCAAATAATAAATTTTTAAACCAAAGGTTCTTATTTAGGAATCACTCTACAATTTTACAAATTTACGAATTTTTTTAAGCTGTAATTCTATTCCCTTGAAGCACTTAAATGTTTTATACCAAATTGAAAACAAGGATAATATTCAGTCACGTTATTTCTGAATTAAAAAAAAAGTAAAAATAAAGATATTACAAAGGTATTGATGCGATTCTAAAACTATGCATATTTCTCGATTGCTGTTCAAATTACATACATACATATGTATATCTAAGTATGTAGAAATACTTGTATCACAAAATAATGAGTTTTATACTAAAATCTTTTATACTATTATTATTTAAAGTTTTCTTATTTTCCATATTGACTTAATATGCTTAAAAAACAATTGACAATGAATGACCATAAACAAAATTCGATTGACCCTTATGCCGAATAACAAACAATACGTAGATGCATTCAGATGCATATGCACTTGTACATATGTATACTCCTTGTAAGAAGAGGAAAAAGAAGAACAAGAATAAGAAAACTAAAATCTATAGAGTATGTACTCATGAAAAAAAAAAATTTCTTTGTTTTTCTATATTTTCATTCTATTTTCAGATTTTAGATGACTAGCAAATAGTAAATAAAAACAGTTATTGTATATAAATACTAAATAATATGATGGCGTCGTCGGCGGCGCCTTATGAGCTAATTTCATTGTATAAGTGTAACAAAGTATGTGTTAAAAAAAAGTGAGACTTTTCTTTGTGAAAATTTAAAATTAATTCTGTACAAGAGTAACTCATGAATCGCTTTTATTTGATAGCCCTCTGATGTGGAATGAAATTGGGAAGGAATAGTATAATGTTTATGAATATTATATTGCGTAAATACGAATATTCTTTAGACAAGATGTAAAAGTTTTGCTTCAGTAAAGCCAAACTTTTAAATAAAATTCAAATCTGTAAACTGTAAATTAACGACATAAATATTGGATTGAGTACAGAACCAGCATGAAAATATTTCGAAAGAAAATGTGCAAAGTATATAAAGAGGACCATGCTAACCTGCTTTCAACAAGTAGATAGTACAATACAATCCAAATTTAAAAGGTGTACGCTTTTAATATTTTTTTTATTTTTTAGCTAGAGTACTGAAGAATATAGTATATTGTGTAGTATTTGAAAATCCCAAGGAGCAGCTCTGACAAAAATTCGAATACAAAATTATATTTTGATTTTTCTAACGACTTGGCTGAAAAGATTATTAAAAGTGTTGTTTAATATTAAAAATTTTTAAGATTGCATTTAAAGTGTTAATTATCAGATTTTTTAAATTATCACACACTTTAAGTATTCAAATTATTTTTTGTTAAAAAAACATTGCAATAAATAAAATACCATTAGCAGTTCTAAAACCTTTTCAAGTATTTTTGTAAGCATATTATGGCAATTAAGAAAATGTTCATGAATCAAGTAAAGTGATTTTTAATTATTACGTTCACTTTGTTTCCTATTACTTCAATAATTTTGGCAATTGAATTGGTTTTTTGTAAGTATTTAAATAAGAAAGGCAATTTTAAGAACTTATAAAAACCACTAACTTTGGAAGTCGTTCTCAATACGATTTAAAGATATTTTGTTGGATATTCCTATTTTTTTTTGAAAAATTTTAATATGAAGAGAATAAAAATCAGAAATGGTCTTAAAAGTTTGATTTGTATGCAATTTTGTGTTCGATATAATTGAAATTTTTAACTGGACTTCTGTAATAAATTCAAAATTTATTCAAATTATTTCTTTGACAAAATTCATCTACAAAAATATTATTTATGAATTTTTATAAAAATTAATTCGTTATTAAATTTTATTTTTGACATTTTTTGTTTTTTTTTTGTTTTTTTTCACAAAACTTCATTTATAATACTGAAAAATTTTTAATATGGCTATGTGGCAAAGGTTTTAAATGAAAACCCGTGCTTTAATACTAAAAGTTTCTATATAAAACTCAAAATATTATGACGGTTTTTGAATAGTCTGAATGATTTTGAGTATTAAATGAATATTGCATGATCGCATGCAATACAAAACATACTAATCATTAATTTATGTGAACACTACATGAATAAAATGTCCGAAAAAAACTGGCTATAAAAATTTGAAGCTCTTTTCACATAGAAATAAAATTTGATTACAAAAAATACTGCGTGTTGAATGAATTCTAAACATTAAAAAATTAAAAATAAAAAATTACAAATTATTCGAAAAAATATGACGATTTTATGAGTAAATTGTTATGCACATGTGACAAGTACATAAAATTTGTTGAGTAATAAAAGTAAACTTTTGGTTTTTTGTTTACAAGCTTGTATTTGGATTTTATAAAGATTCAAGTGTTTTTGAAAGAATTTTGTTATGCGTGATTGTAACTCTTTTTATGTATTATTAAATTTTATTACTATTATGTTTTGTTATATAATCCAAAGTTGAACATGTGTTTTGATTTTATAAAATCAAGAGTTTTGTAATTTTTAAGTATATAATAAAAGAACTTGATTTCTTCTGGATTACGGTGTAAAATTTGTATGTGATAGGAAAGTAAAATTGACCTTTAAGTATTTTAATTTTAAAATAAGATTATAAAAATTTTACTTTGTTATACAATCGATATGGGATTACGTTAATTGGTATTTAGAAGGCTAATTTTATTGAGATTCATGGTTTTGCTGAAAGTATACTGCCGTTTACAAGGTAATTCTATTTACTTAAGGGTTTGATTTTCTGTATTTGGCCGTAGTTTAGTTAGATATTTATAAATAAGTAGTTTAAAAGTAAATTAATGTTTTAATATATAAGTAATACATATAAATGAAATGAATTTAACTGCGAGTACTATAAAAATCTCAAAGAAATCTCAGCAATTTCACCAATTATTTGATTCTATTTTGAAATTACTCAATTCCTACTCCTAAAATTTTCACATCGAAATCAACATTTTTTGTATTTATGAGATTGTTTTATGAAAAATTTCTTTAATTTATGAGTTTAATAATTAAGAAAACATTATTAAGTCATATTGCAATTATATTTTAATTTAAAAATAAAATTTATTATTTTTTAATGAAAATACAATCTGTTTATTTATTCTTCTTTTTTTTTTTAAATTTTAGGCAAATCTAAGCGTAATTAAATGAATTATGTGCATAAATTTTTTTAAAGGGGTGCCTCAAAGACTTAAGGTTGTTAAGTTCAAATCCGTTTCAATAAAATTTTTAGATACATTATATAAAAGAGAAAATCTTTGTTCTTATAATTTAAATTTTACATTTTTAATAAAATCTAAATGATTTGTAGTTTTCTAATTTTTGTTAAATGGTTATATTTAAAAGACGAAAAATTAAATCATCATTACCGCGCTTTACAATTGTGCTATATGAATTTTATTTAATGAAGTGATACGAATATAAATTCTAATATAAATTTTAAGTTGTTTCTTACCCATTTGTAAAAAAAATTTCAATGTTTTCTGGTTTCTTTACGATTTAGAAACGATTAATAGATATGACCATCAATCAATTAATTCACATTCATTGAATATTTAATCGTTTATATAAAAATTAATGAAGCGCGTCAAAATGATTATTATATCATTGTATATGGAAGCATTTATTATTCTGAATTTCAATTATTGCTTGGTCAATTAAAACATTTAAATTATTTCTAAAAATTAAAGAAAAAGAGAAGCAAAACAACAAAAAAATATATATATATATATATATATGAATTAAATTAATGGGCAGATTACTATTGTTTTAACACAATGTAATTAAATAATTTTTTTTTTACAAATTACAATGTAACAATTTTTTAAGACTTTTACTAGGTATTGTGTAAAAAATATGTAAAATGTTAAAATACTTTAAAAAATATTGGGTATTCTGGAGTAAAGTAACTTTAAATTACACTTAAATTTATAATTGGAAAACATACATCCTAAAGAAATCTCAAGTTTTACTATAATTTAACAACGCATATTCTTTTCTGTCATTCAATTAATTTTTATTTAATTAAACAAAAATTACCTACAACTTTGTACACCCCTGCCCCTTTTTATTTAATTGCAATTTAAAATTATTTCACTCAAGTAAAATTTTATTAAAGAAATGCTGGTGATTCAAAAAAAAAGTTCAAATTTTGCACCAGTCCGTTAAAACTAATATTCTTACAAAATAAAAGTTTCAAAATGCTGGAAATGTTATATTTGAAGTGTGCTCGTTTTTAGAATATTTCCAAGAACACTGAAAAAAATTAATGTGTTTATTTTGCTCTATGTATCCGTCCGTATGGCTGTTTACAAAATGTTTATTCCTTTTGAGAAAGAAAGTTGAAATTTTATATATAAATAGAAGCAAATGTATGCGAAACTCCTTCTCATAAAAAGTTATGGCCCTCTAAAGTTTTAAAACACTTTTTTTAAGATTATATTGTGTTAAAATAATAAACCCCTTCTTTATAATATTATTTTAAAATCTCGTAAACGCAGGAAAATAGCGGGTTATTTCTCAGTTAATTAATACTAATATGTACTAGAATACTAGATAATCGGAATTTATTAAACATAGGTTTTCATATGTGAATCAAACATAAAGATATTCTTCGAATTATAAAATATTATCCCCATATGTGTGTGTATTTACATTTTAAATTAAATGAAGAAAATTTTTCGCCTTCCCATATGGCTGCGCAATTGGTATTTTTAAAAAAAATTCAATTAAAATAAAAGAATCAAATATTTTTCTCGAAATATTTTATAATTAATTTTAAAATAATAAATCTGAAGGTTTGTATTCTATTAAGAATTAAGATATTAAATGAAAGGGGTTAATATAGGATCCTTTATTCAAAATTTCATTATAAATAATTTAATTTTTAATAGTTTTGAAATTATAATGTTTTTCTGATTGAAAAAGAAAAAAACAATATTTCAAGCCCAAATAAATTTTTTATTAATTAAAATCAATAAATTTTTATGATTTTTCAATGAAAAATTTACGCTTTTGATATAATTTTTAAGAGGTCTGCAAGTCATTTTTAAAATTAAATAAGTTGCGTCGGTGAATTGAGGACAATTATAAAAAGTAGATCAATTTATAAAGTTAAAATTTTTGTGCTATTTAGAAAACTGCTTTTAAAATTAATAAGCCAGTATTTACAGCATTATTTATTATACAATATTGGAATAATAATTATAAATTTAGTACGATTATTTATGGTTAGTTAACCACTTTAATGCCTTTTTGAATTTAGGAAATTTCAATATTAAATTTTAAATTGTATGCAACAAAGAAATTATCTAGGAGTGAGTTCTAACACATCAGAAAAATATCACTTATTTCAATATATCTTACATTATCTTAATTGGCATTATCTTACAGTTTGCAAACAAAGCATCCAAGTTTTTTTGATTATAACTTCCGTTCTGAAAATGATGTGGACTTCAAACAAACAGTTTCTTTAGTTGCATCACCAGTATCCCAATTTTTAGTTTTTGAAAAATTTGTTGGAAATTTATTAGTTCCCTTAAATTGTTTATTGATTATTTATTACCTTAATAATGTTAATACTCGTACAATATCATTTACAAACTCTATTTTGTGTAATAAATTAAATTTTCCTATTAAAAAAATTTTTTTCTAATAAAATAAATATCAAAATTTACATGGCATGTCTTTAAAAATTCGCTACAGCTGGATAATTTTTATAACTTCAGGTGCCAAATAGTGTCTAGACTCCGAAAATGATTTTTTTAAATTTTTAAATTGCACCCAATGTGAGAAAAATGCATTTAAAAATTTCAAACCATATAGGTACTATTTCTTATAAAAATTGGCAAAAATAAAAAACCTATCGATTTTCTTTACCAAGAAAAGTTTCGAAAAAAATTTTTGATTACTAGATTTTTTTTTTGTTTTTCCTAATAAAAAAGTCTAGTTTTTTTTTCAAAAATTTAAAATTTTTTAAAATAAATTTTTGTTTTTCAAACTAAAATTTTGTATAAAATTTTGTTTTAATTTTATTATTATTTGTTAGATTTCAATAAAAACATTAAAATTCAGATTTTTTTACAAAGTAAGGTGATGTTTTTCCAAAACAACACTCTTGTCATCTAAAATTAATGATAGTTAATAATCATAGCGCTTAAAATAAGTAAAAATCAAAACTAGTGAAAAATTTGATTTTGCCTAAAAATCAAATGCTTTGTATTCCGAAGATACATAAAATACAGAATCAAGCAACATGTTTATTTTAAGCCCTGTACTAGGCCTTTCAGAAACTGTTTGTTTGAATCTTTTTCAGAACGGAAGTTATAATAAAAAAAAACTTGGATAGGAAAAAATTTCGTGAAAATTCGTTAAAATCCCTGAAATTCGAAAACCCTTGAAATTTTGTACTCAGTCCGGAACAAATGTTTTACCCATTTTCGAGCCTCTAACCAATGGTATATGTTGTTGTATATCTTTCTGAATCACCCTGTATAAAATATAATAGAAATTACCCTAAAATCAAACATACTTATAAACATTGTAATAAATTAGCAACATTGTTAAAGGCAGCAGCCACTACAACAAGACAATAAAAATAAAGTTGCTTATTTAAAAATTGTACATTTTGTACATTTTAAAATATTTCTTATTTTATATGCAAACAGTCGCAGGATTAAGGTGCAGTTAATTTAAAAATTCTGAAACTATCAACGTCTTGTACTGCAATTTATAGTGATTACCAAGTGTAAGTAAATCAATTTATTCAATCATTATATAGATCAATTCGATTAATTTTAAATTAGTTCATATTACGGGTATTGAATTTCTAATTAAATGAAACTCCGAAGACACAATTTGAATAAATGCATTGAAATTTTTAAAAATACAAAAGCGTTAATTGAAATATAAATTAAAAATAATTTTATTTTAATACTTTCTTATTCTAATAAATAATTGATTAGTTGCTTATTGTTCTTATCAATAGAAATTTCTTCGATTTGAATAAAAATTTTCTTACTATCTCTCACCTATTTTAATCTTACATGTTTTGCATTTCTTAATTTACAATAGTTACGTATATTATCATATAAATTTTAAATTGTATGCGACAAAGTTTAATTTAAAAAAAAATCACCTAACCTTAATTATTTTACGCATAACTATGTATTTAATTAGCATGAAATTAAACTAACATTAGACTGATTCTGTTATTAAATTTAATTAAATACAAGATATTGTAAAACAATTCTAAATTTACTGATCTATGTAATTGTGTATGTCTGTACTTAGATACAAAAATGAAATTAGATCTCATATAGCTAATTTAACCTTGATACTTTATGCATTTTGAAAAATAAAGCCCATGTAATAATATAAATTGCAAATGTTAATTAATAAATATTTAATGCAATATATTTTAATAAAATTAGATATAGGTTGAAATTGGTTAATTTTTATGAGACTTATACCCTATATTTAATAAAGTTGGGTCGAACCAATCGTTTGTATTGTAGCACTTTTCCCTTCAACAAGTGAAAATACTGCTTTTAAAATACAGTTTATGTGTATCACCATTAAAATTATTTTTATTCACATACATAACTATTCCTAGGATTGCATATATTTAGGATGAACGATTTATGCAGTATTTAAAGTAAAGCAAAAATTAATATAAAGTAGGGTTAACATAATGCTCGATTTTAAGGTTTAATTGTGTGAATTAAGAAAAATAATTATATTTTTTAATATCATGGAATTTACCGTTAACTGATTGCGTTTATAAAAATTTGAAAAAGCTTGCGGTTTCGGAAATATAAGGCGTCAAAAATTCAAATTTTACAAATTTCAAGAGGCGATACCTTGAAAGGGGGTGGAGATGGAAAAAAATTTTTTCGCCCCTAAAATTTCAAGCTTCTACAGGCTGGAATCTAAAAGAAAAACGAAATCAAAAATTTGGAAAAAAGGACTTTTGATAACGGTAAATTTGAACGGCCATTTTGTTTTTCTAAAGTTTAACTATAGTATACCGCGCTAGGGGAAGCAAGCCGCTACCTTTATGCTTTTGCAAAATTTCAAAAATGTAGACGGACGGACGGAAGTCCATCGATACGTACTTTCAGACATAGCCGCAAATTGAATGCATCGGGTGTAGAAAAGTGGAAGTCGTAACTAAAAAATTTATGTTATTAAGCAATTATAAGAGCGAATTTATATACATTCATATATACGTTTGTATAGTAAATTTCCGCTTATATGACGAGACGATGATATTTTTAAATTATATTATAAAATTTTAATATGTTTTTAACAATACGTTTATAAATGAACATCAGAAATGGAATTACATATTATATTAATATTTAAATTAATATTTAAATCTAAAACTATACATACAAGTTTGACTTTTGTTTAAGATTCATTAATTAAAATCAATTAGTAGTCAAGGCAAAATTAATTTAGAAGAAGTAATTTTTCTCTTTCATCTTCTAAAATTAATATTTATAACAGAATGAAATTATTGTTATATAAAAGCGGAAAATAAATTAAAATATTTGAATTATTTTTAAAGTATATAATTTTCTACGACTTAAAATATTTTCAAATACATGCGGTATTACTTCTTTGTACAATAGATTCTCTATTATGTTAAGTACTATACTTAAAAAGAGTTGAGAGTTTTGAAAGAAAATCAAAATTGTGTACAAAAAAAAAAATTTTTAATTGAATTTTTGTTCTATTGTAAAATCCAATATAAACGAGAAAAAATAGAGTTTAGAGTGCCAGAGTTTCTGTTAACTACATTTTGTTAGAATTTATACAGTCACAACCAAATCTCTATAAAAATTCTATAAATTTTAATTTGCATACATCAGTTAGCTCAGAATGGATTTACAATATTTTGGATTTAATTAAATTTAATGGCCGAATCAATACGTAAAGATCAGTAGTTTTCAAGTCCCCGTTAAAAACTGATATAACCGGAACGAAATTTTAATGGGATAGTGGATCTATTATCGTACTTGTTTAAGTGAAAATTGAATACAATAGTTTCAAAGTACCACAACCAAATTTTATCGAATTATTATGCAAAATTTAATAAATGTACATGTTTTACAGTTTCTTAGATAATGAGTTTTTAGATAATGATAAACTATTATTCTTGAAATTGTATGGGAGTTAGGGCTGCTTCAATCGCACTCCAATTATATGAGGTGCCTACAATAATAAACATAAAAAATTTGTAAAAATTTGGCAAACCCACTTCAAATTCTTCTTTTAGATATCGCTAAGATAGACAGAACGAATTTTTACGCCCATAAGAATTATGGTTTCTTATAGCAAAACTTTATTTCTCCCTATATTTAAATATTATTTTGGCAATTAGAGATACCCATGATCATATGCATGTATGTATATACATATATGTGTATGGGTATAGAAATTCACAATTTATTTGAAACATGAAAATGTTCCTTTTATTATTAAATCTTATTTAAAAATCTCATGAAAATTTAAATTAAATTCTTATTTAAATTTTTTTTTTTTTTACTTTCAGAAAATCCAAAAGATTGGTCAGATCATGCATTATGGTGGCCAGCGAAAAATTGTTGGTTAACAAGAACAAGATCAACATTAGATCAAGTTGGTGTGCAAGCAGATACATTACTTTATTTCACACCTATGCATAAAATTTTAAGAGTACAGGTAAATTTCCATTTAATTTTTTATCCAACAATATATTTACATGTCACACACACACATGATACATGAAAACATATAAAATTTTAGTTGGTTTTTAATGATTTCTTCTGATGATACTATAAAGATTCAAAATTTAAATATATATACACAACCTATGCTTGAAATGAGAAACCTTTGAATATTGATGCCGCTATTCATGCATTTCATACATTCTATTTTTTGATTTAAAGAGTAATGTATAGAAAAACACAACAATTTATGTGGTTTTGGTGGTTTAAATTGTAATAAAATCAAATTCTAGAAGAGTTCAAGTTCGGTAAACATCTAAAATTTTTTAAGAAATTTACATTTAAATTTTTAAAATAATGGGTTTTCTGTTTTTTTTAACCCTTATTTAGACTCTTAATGAATTTATTCCATAATTGCTTGTGTTATTTCAAAGAATAGGGTAAAGGATAATTTGTTGTGCTTTTGTTTTGTTCCGCTATAAGAAAGAGTAAATTAAATTTATTAGATTTCGCACCTTAAATTTTTTTTACTGGTGTTTACGGTCAGAAAATATAAAAAACTTTAAAATTGTATAAATTTATTTCATAGACTATATTAGGTCATTTGTATTTTCAACAGAAAAAGAAATCAAACTAGTTTTCGTTAAAGGTTATATGTTATTTGAGGGCGTCAAAAATTTAATGAGACAACATTTATTTTATTGTGGAATAATTATGGTATTTTAACATTTAAGGTATATAGTGTATAGCTATTGTATATTGGTACTATAGATATTAGCTGTGTACTTTAGATAAAGAATTATTAACATAAATTTAAAACGTATAAATTGAAAGTGAACTGCAGGTTTCTACTAGAATTTCAAATTAGTTGAACAGGTCAAGATTGTAAATTAAATAATAAAATATTGGAATTTTTGGTATTTTACCATAATTGTGAAAATAGTCATGAATCATATGTATGTACATATATAAGATTTTAAAATTGTTATATTATAATTGTATTAGAAATTTCGATTACTTTTGAAAATTTTTATTATTTTCTATACTAGCAGCTATTCGAAAGGAAGTTTTCATAAACATCAACATTATACTTAGAATTTTTGAAACACTATATGATTGAAATAAATTTATGATTTACACAAACTTAACAAAATCTTACCAATTTCAATTAACTATTTTTCTAATTTCATTTCTATTTTGGAAGAATCGATGGTTCCAGTTCGGCGAATTTATAAAAAACTTGAAAAACGTGTTTCGAGTAATTTAATTCAAAATTTAAATTTATTTTTAAAGCAAAATAGGTTCTTATATATATTTATCCATATTTTCGGAGTTCAATGAGAAATAAAGATTAAATTTAAGCAATGTGGTGTAATTGCAACAAAGCAGTATGTACATATGTAGTCGATTTTATTGTTAATGCTAAGTATATTTGTATTTTATTGTATGACATTTAGAGAGAAAATGAAACGTCATATTTTTAATTTTTTAAATCACCCAAATTTCAGATTAGATTCTTAAGAAAAAAGTATCCCAAAACAATTTGAACGAAATGAAAGTGAAAATAACACGCCTTAATTTTTTTTTTAATCCAATTTATTAATTCTATGAATTTTTAATATCAAAGCGCTTTATACCAAAGTTTGTTAACTAAATTGTTTCTTTTTTTTAATTTCTTGTTTTCTTTCTAAATAAATTTTTAAATATTTTTTTAAAATTTCTTAATAATTTTGTATAATTCTTCTGTTATACTTTTTTGTAAAATTAATTTCAAAAAAGTAAATCACTAGACCTTTAAACCAAACCTTTGTGCGCAGTGCGCGCATTCAATACTGCTGTTCTTGTTCCTCATAAAGTCACGTATTTTTGTTGTACATAAGTATATACAAAATTTTCGTATTGTTAGTTTGTTGTGTATTGTAAGGTCAATGAGTTTTTTCTTTTTAGTTTTTTTGTTCAAAGAATTTATTCTAAGTAAACATTAAGTTAAATTGAAAGAATAAGTGTTTTATTGTTTCCCGAATTGCCTGTTTTTAATTCTGTTATATAATTGCCTTATAAATAATATTTACATGGTATAAAATAATTTTTATTTTATTTTAAAGAATGATTTAATTTTGTTAATTGGCTACAACAACTGAGATTAGTCGGGAAATGTAGGCCAAAATTTTAAGTGAATAAGAAAAAATTTTTTATTTTCTGCTATTTTTGAATGAATTTTTTGAATTTTTTATTTAAATTTCATTCTAGAATTGAATTTGAAAATTTGAATCTAAAAACTATCCATTCATTTAATTTATTTTATTGTATTTTATTCTTCTTGTAGTCTCAAATAACTTCATAATAAAATAATTTGAATGGGACAGCGAAAATATTATTTTTCGCATATTAATTGAAAAAAACTTTGTGTAATACTTTTTCATTAGACTAAAAATACGATAAGAAAAATAAAAAGAATTCAACTTTAAATGCATTCTTTTCAAACAAAATAATTCCGAAGAAATGAAATAAGTAGAAGATTTTAAATGTATATGTATAATATCAAAACTGTTTTAAACATACTTACGAAGATACTATAGAAATTTTGTAGATAAACGGGATGTTTACAAACTCTTTTAATGAACATTGTTCTATATATTTTGTACACAATCTTAAAATATTTTTCCATCTATATTTTTAATTTACAAATTAATTCTTTTGAAATTCATTCCCTTAATTTTAAGAAATGTATTAGAAACAAAGTAATCTAATTTAAAATGATTGAAATATTTATGATTATGTATGTGAGCTGTCGTCTGTAACATGTCAGTGAGCAACTTCAATGAGAAATACTTATAGTATGTAATTTGCACATAAAGACCACATAAGAATTAGGGAGAAAAAAAATTTTGCTTAATCAATTTTTTTTTTGCAAATTGTAGCCCGTGATTGTTTTTCTATTAAATTTTAAAAATTTAGTTATAATTTGCAAAAATTCTGGATTTTATAAAGCGGAATGATATTTTCTCGGAATCAAATGGAAGTTTAATCCTTGCGGATAAAAATTAACAATAACATTAGAAAACTAAGAGTCATTCACATTTTTTCCCACTCTTCTGTACAAGCAGTGTTTTTATATTATGCTGTATTTGGATTTTACAAATTATTGTTTTTAACACAATTGCACAATTCTTTTTGCAATTGCAATTAAAACAGACAATTATATTTTTCTCTTTAATATTTCGAGAACTTGGGAAAATTATTTTACATTTTCTGTTCAGATAGTTAAAATTGGTATAGCAGTGCTTGAAAATTAAATTTATTAAACATTTGTGTACAAATTTGGAGTCTATACAATGTTGACTGTTAAATAATATTTTAAATAACAAGTCTATTAAAAATTTTTTCAAATACTTAAAACTAAAAAATAAAAATGTTTGTATGTACGTCATTTACGCCTGTACAATTACAAAATATTTTCAGACAAATCATTATTACTTTAAGTGTGGGCAAAAAGACATGCTGTCTAACCTGTTCTTCATATAACAGACACTTAACTCTAAAAAAATTAAATGAAAAAAAAATAAGCAAGTTTCATAGAAAACATAAAAATTTAATTGATAAATTAACATTTCGTCACCAAATTGAAAGTGCTTGTTATAAAAAAGAAACAAAATATAAATTTCAACATTATAACGCTTTATAATTTATTCAAATGTCATTAAGAAACAAACTCTTAAAACTCTCGTTACATCTAATTACTATTGCATATTACTATTGCACATACATACATATATATGTATTGGATGTATATATACAAATATTATTCTAATATCGATTTTTTTGCCGTTTTTTTATGTTTTCTTATTTTCTTGATCTACCTTCATTCATAATCACCAGAATGCGTTGGAAGACAAGTTATTATTCAAAGATTGTTGGAATTTTTATATACTATATATACGTTTTTGATTACTTTTCTGTACTATATATGTATGTACAATATAAGTATAAGAAAAACAGAAAAACTTTTAAAAATTGTCACCTGAAAAACACCTGAGAGAATTTTATGTGTTTGTAGTAATTGAAAATAAATTGAAAATGAAAATTTTATAGTAAGAGTAAAAATTTTAACTTGTAATTGTATAAGTAACGATATAAGAATCTAATAATTTATATTAAGGAATGTAAAAATTACAAAATCTAAAAAGAAAAACCCAAATTGCAAAAATATTTAAATAAATCAAAATGGCCTTTGCATACAAACACAAATAATTTGTTTTCCTTTTTAACAATTTTCTAATAAATTAATTTAAAATATTAAATATACTCGTAATCAAAAGAATGCAAACATATTTGATACTAAAGTAATTTTAGTTAATTTTTTAACTAAATTTCAAAACGATATAAGAGTATGATTAATTTTCCTTGTAAATTTTATAATATTTTTTTTTCTCTTAAAATTGCTATTATTTACAAATAAAATTGTCTCCGACTATGGTACACATTATTTTGCCAACCTCAATTACTTAAAGAATACAACTTTATTGAAAAAAAGTAAAAATATTGTTTAAATTGAGCTATTTTTTTGTTGAGGCGTTATTGATACACTTTAAAATTGTTGTTGTTCTTGCTAAAATTTATATTAGGTGCACCCACTTAAGAGCTTTACAATGTTCAAGTACGAGTATATAATAGGAATTTTGAAGTTATTTACATACATACGTTTAATAGAATATGTCCCATGTTATATGTAATAGGAAAAAAAATAAGAAGAAAAACATGAAACATAGAGATTTCGTTATGATAATCGGAAAATTAATAACCTTACAATCATAGGAATTCCTGATATTAAATAATATTATTGAAACATTTATTTTATGAATTTACTCCATTTATTATTTACTAAATATTAAAGCATAGAAAGTAAAAGTTTTTGTAGTTTACATTTTTTTCGATTACGCATAAATTTCAAATATAATTCAAAAAATGAGACATATAATCTACACTATTAAGAGTTTATAGTTTAAATTATAATTTTAACTCTAAAATGTAGGTATGATCTTAAAAGCAGTTAGTAGGCTTGAAAAATATCGATTACTAATATAATTTTACACTGCTCTTTGTTACAATATCTAATATACAACTACATCATGCGATATATAAACATCAATTACCTTTTTATTTTACCTATGAATAAATTATTGAAATTAAAAATTAAATTTAATATTTATACTACTTCATAAATTCTTGTTATAGGAAAGTGGTTAAAAATTACATTAAACGTATAGTTTAAAATTTAAACGAACCTACTTAAATTACAATTTTAAAAATATCATTAGAAAAATAATAACAGAAATCAAAGAAAATTACTAATCTCCTTTTTTTTTAACATATCCACATTATTACATCTAGTTTTTGAATATTGCACATATGAACGATTGTAATGTTGACAGCAATAACTTGTATACGTAACGCGATATTAATTAGTATACGAAAATTATTGAATTTTTTATGGAGCGTTAATAGAATTTGTAAATTCCATAAATGGTTATTTTTGTTATTTAAAGCTTGTAAATTTGGATTACAATTTATAGATATTTCGAATAAATTTCTGTGTTAATAAGTAAATAATACAGTATGGTTGATGTAAATATATGTGTAAGTAGGTAGGTATACTTTAGAAACTCTAAGAAAACGGTTGTCGTTAGATTTCAAAGAGAAAAACATAAATGTATAAATTATTGCTCCAAAAAAAGTATTAAACAACTTGTATACACATTGGGTGTAAAAGCGGCAAGGTTGAATATTTAAGATTTGACTTAAAGATTGACTATATTAATTGTATAAAATTTTTATGAGTATATGCATTTTATATTGCATTATGTATAGAAATAGATATCACAAGTGAATACTCTGAAGAATTTTTAGTTAAAATTGGGTTTTTCATACAAAAATTTACATCAAGTTATTGAGCTATGGAAATTGGAAGACATATACATGTTCTGTTTGGTATATGTCAACTAACATGCAAATTTATTAAATAAAATAGTAGAATTCCATTACAGAATTCTGTAATTGCATTAAAGTTTTGGATATGTCACGATTAGTCTTATAATTACAGAAAAATCTTTGCAAATTTTAATGAATTTAGAATACAAAAAAAATTCTTATTTCAGTAATAACATCTGTAATAATATATATGTATTATTAATGTCCCTGGCTTACTTACATTTGTTGACAATAATTCGAAATTTTTTGACATTCGATAATCACAACATTGTTGTCATATAGATAATTGAATTGTTTTAAGTTTCTTCAAATAAAACAACTGACACATAAAATAAAAACAAAATTGTTCAGTTTTCAAATACAATATTAATATTAATAATAAATTATTATTTTAATTTTAGCTTCCAGATTTACGTTTTTTGGATTGTCGTGTAGACTATTCAATAAAAACTTTTGGAGCTGTTGTAAATTTATGTAAGGATTTAGGAATTCGCCATCCAGAAGAATTATCCTTATGTAAACCACTTGAACCAGAATATTTGAAGAAAAATTATGCACAATTTCCACACTCTAAAATAATAATACCCGAGCCGAATGGGACGATACTTTTACAACCAGCACCAGATACAAATTCATTTATACCTGTAAATTCATTTAATGGCAGTTGTAACAGTTTAGATAAAACACAAAATGGATTTTCATGTGCCCCAGTACATCAACATCACACACCAAAACGTTATAATCAACAGAGTACACCAATTAGTTCCCCAACAGGTGTAAGTACATAACACACTTTATTTTTTTACATGTGATTTCATTTTTTTTTTTATTAAATCGAAATGAAATTGCATATTATATTAAATAATTAAATATTAAAAATAAAAAAATATTTTTTTAGACATGGAAGCATAGTTCCAGTGGATACACAACATTTGATTCATCATCATCATTAGGTGATATGACAGAAAATCTTGCAGCTAGTCCAAGAGCACCCAGTCCAGATGTACGTTCTCGTTTAATAAGACCAAAGTCTTTGGTTGAAAAAGCCCGTATGAATATTGGTTGGTTGGATTCATCTCTTTCTATAATGGAGCAGGGTATTCGTGAATATGATACACTATGCTTGAAATTTAAATATTACACATTCTTTGATTTGAACCCGAAATATGATCAAGTGAGAATTAACCAACTGTATGAACAAGCGAAATGGTCATTATTAAATGAAGAAATTGATTGCACCGAAGAGGAAATGTTAATGTTTGCCGCATTACAAGTAATTTGTTTAAATTTGTATTTTGGAATTAATTTTTTTTAAACTATTTATTTTATTACAGTTTCAAGTTATACAGCAAAATGATTTACAGCAACCAGATTCTGGAATTGACACATCTAGTGTTGAAAATGGAACTGATGACGATATAGATTCAGCTTTGACCAAATTGCAGTTAACGTTGGAAGGACCAGACGCAAATTTACAAAATGGAAATATAACAAGAGTTCCGGAGCTTACAGATTATCTAAGATTTTTAAAGTGAGTATTAATTTTAAAATTTAATTGAGAAATTAATTTGCTATTTACAATTTTAGACCTAAAAAATTCACTATGAAAGGATACAAACGTTATTTCTTTGCATATCGTGAACTTCATTTATATTTATATAAAAGCGCTGAAGAATCACGAAGATCTGCACCAACACATGTTATAAATTTACGTGGATGTGAAGTTACACCAGAAGTCAATATCAGTCAGGGTAAATTCAGCATTAAATTAGAAGTTCCACCAACAGATTTTAATGGACCAAATAGTGAAGTATGGATTCGTTGTGAAAATGAAGATCAATATGCCAGATGGATGGCTGCTTGCCGTTTAGCATCTAAAGGACGATCTCTAGCCGATAGCTCATATTCAAGTGAAGTTCAAAGTATAAAATCATTCTTGAGTATGCAAAAACCAGCCCAGGCTCCAGCTGTTCAAATTAATCCAGCATCAATAGATCCAAACGATTATATTTCACCAAGAATATTAAAGAAAATCAGAGGTAGAGCTGGTCAAAGAATATTGGAAGCACATGCAAATGTTAAAAGTTTAACATTAACTGAAGCAAAATTAAAATATATCCAAGCATGGCAAAGTTTACCAGATTTTGGTGTTAGTCTATTTGTTATTAAATTTGATGGCCATAAAAAAGAAGAATTATTAGGTGTCGCACCAAATCGTATTATGCGTATGGATTTAAATACTGGAGATCATTTAAAAACATGGCGGTACAATACAATGAAGGTAAGATTTGATATTGTTAAGAAATTGGAAATTCTCTTAAAAGAATTCCTACACAAGAAATAGATACTTTAGCCTAGAATTTTCTTAATTTCTAATGTAATTCATTCGTTTTTTAGGCTTGGAATGTAAATTGGGGTGTTAAATGCATGATGATTCAATTTGCTGATGAAAATGTCGTTTTCTCTTGTCTATCAGCTGACTGTAAAGTTGTACATGAATTTATTGGCGGTTACATTTTTATGTCGATGAGATCAAAGGAAGCAAATCAAACATTGAATGAAGAAATGTTCCATAAGTTAACAGGGGGCTGGGTTTGATTTAGAGCAAACTCTATTTAATTGATGTTTTAATATTTTTTATTTTCAATTTAAATTTAAAATTTCCCTTATTTTTTTTTTGTTTTTTTAAAAAATTAATTTAATTTTTCATTTTAATTTATTATAAACCAAGAATTTTCTTAACAATTTTTTATCTTTTATTATTTTTCTTTTGTCTTTTTAGTTGTTCATGTAAATATTAACAAATTAATAAATATAAATATTAATAAAAAATTAAAAAAAAAAAATGTATTAAATAAATTGTAAATTTAAAAAATGTGAAACACATAAAATCACATTAGAACAATGAGGATCTGTGTGCCGGGATTATTAGCACTATATACGTTAGAATTTAAGTAAATTAAAATTATAAAAAATGAAAAATTAATTAATTTTTTAAATGTTGCTTTTTAAAAAAAGGAAGAAAAACAAATAATTAATGTTTATGCCTACTTAAAATATTTTAACAAAATATAATTTAGAAAATTAAAAGTGAGCGACATCTAGTGGGAAATTAAATTTTCTTTTAAGTATAATTTAAGATTTAAATGTAATATTAATAATCAAGCTTTAATAATAATTGTTAATAGAATCAAAATCAAATTTATATTTATATACTAAACTTTTTGTTGTATAATTTAATGAATAATATTAAATTGGGAAAACTTTTATAAAACATTATTTTGGATTAAAATTTACAGCAATTTTTGTTTTTTTTTTTATAAATTTAAAAGAATTTCTTGTATAATTGATAATTATTTTCTAAACTAACATTTGATTAGAATATATTTTAACAAATTTATAGTATAAAAAGATCTAATTATCAAAATAAATAAATTATCACTAAAAATGAAATTTCGTTTCATAATAACTTGATTGTAGTTTCTTATTTTAATACATTTGAAATTTAAGTAGATAAACTATTGTTTTCTTTAAGATATGGCGAAGCACACCGTGAATTTCTAACAAGAAATTTATTTTACTGATGTGCAACTCGAAATTTTGTTAATTTTAACTAATCAATTGATGAAGTGCATGAAAATGTTCTATTGTTGCACTATTTTGCAAATTATTGTTAATCTTACTTAACAGATCATTAAAAATAAAAACATCATGCTCTTTATTTACATTAGATGTCTCTTATATTAATTAAATATAATTGCATGTTTCTAATATTTAATTTTAAATTGAAAATTTTATTAATTTTTTAATTTGTACATTTTTATTAGAAATCACATTAATACAAGAAGTTTGTTTCAAAAAAATCTTTTATAACTTTGAATTTTTAATTTATATGTGTCTTTTAAAAACAAAATAATTAATGTATTTAAATAATTACGTGGAAAGCAAAATTTTAAAACAATTTCAATTTGATTATTAAATTTTTAAGTTTAGTTTTTTGTCCCATATGTGTAAAAAATATTAAATTTATAATAATTATTATTAATTCTTAAATATTAAAATTATTTTAATGTAATAAATGTGGCCAATGATTTTTAAAATGCTTTTCTTTTTATTTTAATTATTAAATGAATTTATAAATATTTTTTAATATTATATAAATAAAATTGTAATTGTTATTAATATATTTATCATGTAAATATAAATTTCAAATTTCATCAAAAATTAATAGAAATATATCAAAAATTTTAAATATACATTTACTCCATTAATTGGATTTTAATTAATAACTTTCATTAGTTTCCTTCTTTTTTAATTTAGATGAAATTTTCAATTAAATAATAATAATTAATATGTGTCTTATATAATATAAATGCGCTAATCTAATGTTATTTACATTTGTACAATATTATTTAAATAAAATAAAAACAATATGCAAAGAAAATAAAATAATTAAACTACAATTTTACATACTTATATAAAAATAAATATAGATATTATATATATTTTTTTAAATTTTAAAACAAATTAAAACAGAGAAAAAAAACTAAAAAAACAAAAAAAATTTAGAGTTCATTAAAGAAATTGAAAATGTTTGTGAAAATCAAAAATGCACATGCATAACTGTTAACTTTATACAAAAATAAGGAAAAAAAAAACTAACATTTCTAAAATTTCTATTTCTAGAAATTTTTTCTTATTATAAAATATTGAATATTTTTTCTTTTTTGATGTTATTAATTGTAAATTTTTAGCAATTGAATAAATTTAATAAAAACTTAAAATAAAATGTTACAATATTTTTCATTTTTGTGAAAATTAACCCCCATGTCTGCAAATAAGAAAAACCATTTATCAGTGGTCTTTGGTTTAGGTAGGCAGTTTATGGGGAAAAGTTAGTTTTTAACAGAACCGAAATTCTTAATTTTTATTATCCGCCTTGAAATTCTCATTATTTGGTTTTTATTTTTACTTACGACAGCGCCAACTAAAAAATAACGGATGTGAAAATAAATTTATATGCATAACAAAGAAATTTTCTTCAAGTTTACATTTTGTAATGAAAAAAATTGCGTGTGGTAACAGTATACACAGTTAGCTGGTTTTAAACCCAAATACACAATTAGCTGGTGTTTGAATTTATTTCTATTTAATTTTTAAAGCGCCAAACGGTTGAAAACAGAAACAATAGTTAATATTTGTTCGTATAAAAGGTTTGCGTTTTCAATAACAATGAAGAAAAAAGTGTTGTATTGAATGTCGTAAGCTATAATTTTATTATAATTGTTATATTAAAATTCAATAGATGGCATTTTGAAAAAAAAACACAAATTTTTTAAAACATTTTATGAATTGAAGAGAAGGAATTAGCAATAAAAAAAAATTAAATTAAAATATGAAATCAAATTTAGTTGCATGATTCTTTGTGTTTAATAATTAGTTTTAGTGAAATAAGTTTTCTTTTAATGTAAACTAATATTTCCAATAACTTTAGTTGATTCTTATGTGTGTTAAGGAAACATTTAATAATAAAGTGCTAATTTAACTGACATTTTCAAAATATACTTACATATCATACCTACCGTGGTTAGGTATTTATGTTGAAAATGCTAATGTTAAGGTTAACCTAATTGTTAATAATTAAATGGCAATGTTAGAAATGAAATGTCTTCATTTCACAATTCCTATCGGAACAGCTCTTCATTCAGAATATTATGTTATTTAATAAAATTTTTAAAAAGCATTCCTTTAATTTTTATTACAATTTTAAAAACGAGTTACTCTACTTTGATGTTTTTATATTATTTTAATAAAGTACGATACATGATGTAAATGTATATATTATGTAAAAAGATTTATTTCTCAAAAAACAAAAAAAAAGTAATAAATTTAATTGAATTTAATTTGTAATTACCTATATACGACGGTTATATGCAAAAGGTGAGTAAATCCTTTGAATATTGTATTTAAAAACAAAATCATTTACTTAATACTTTTTATAATAAAACAATTTTTTTTTTCATGTTTTACACCTGGTGCAATTCGACAACATAAAAAACAATATTTTTATTTTAAAATTTATTTTAATTAATTCATTAAAATATGACTGTAAAGAATTTACGTTATAAATATTTTAATTTCGTTTTTTTTTTTGAAAAGTACATAAATGTAGGTACACATAAAATTGTTATTTTTTATTGTGTAAAATTAGTTAACGACTCCCGAGATACCAATTAAAAATGGTATACATTATTTAAGGTTTTTTTTTTTGTTAGATAAAATTATGCACATTTTAATTCATACCTACGTAGGTATTATATTTAAACTTAAAATGTACGAGATTACAATAAGTAATCCAAAAAGAGTTGCAATATAAAAAAGTAAACGAAATTAAGTAAAGCGAGTATTAGTGTAGCGTTGGTGTATAAAAAAGTAATTCCTTTAATTCACAAATTATGAATATTATTGATTACATACAGATTAGAATATTATTTTGTGATATTAAAAACTAATCTAATTTAAATAACATTTAAGTAAAATGAGATTTAATTGACTCAGATTTCAATTATGAATTATGTAGATTTTTTAAAATTTATCCTACGGAAAATATGATTTAATACCAATGTTTTGGGTAATATTTCGTATGCAACTAAAATGTAAGCATGTAATTTGCTGACTATATTTGTATGTTTTGATTTCATATTGCAAGAATATGAGTTTTTTTAAATATAGGATAAAGAAATTTATACTTAACCTGAATTTAAAAGCTTAAATGTGTGATCTAATTTATTTTTAACCGTCCTGCAACCAAAATGTAGCTTAATACAGAGGTTTAATACAAATTGAAATAGTAACATATGCATACCTGTCATAGATTCATCTTCCAAAATTCTATATCATAATTATTAAATTAAGATTCGCAGGTGAATTTATAATCTGTAGTAAATCTCATTTACATTTTTTTTACGTACGCCATTCTAATATCTATTGAAATATTTTAATAAAAATTGAATTTCAATTTCTTTATTATAATCCTTTGTACTTGGAAGGAAGTAATAATGCAAAATACGGAAAGCCAAACTCAAATTTTGATTTAAAAACACAAAATTCGATGGGAAATTTAGGAGAGTAAAATCTTAAATTGTTTATGTCCACTGTCAAATCTTATGTCAAATATTAATAAAAGAAAAAACGTCAACTAGTTTTTTCCGAGTGCAGGTCGCTCAATTGCACTTTAAATTCCAAGATATGTACAAAGTTATGATTAAATTTTTTTTTAAATAATTTGTAAAGAATTTGAATACCATTTAAATATAATTGGTAATATAATATATTATTGTCCCTTTGATTTTTGTTATTGGAATATGTATGAATTTATTAATGCTTTTTTGTGCCTATACAGCAAGGTATGGAATTTATATTTGCATAATCATCTAGGAAATTCTTTATTAAATTTTAAACTATTTGTTGCATCAGCGTGTATTTTTTCATGAATTTTATAATTAAAAATAAATTTGAATTATTTTTTTTTTCTTTATTTAAATTTTAAATTTTCCATATGAGTATAATTATAGAAAGTCAACTGGTAGTTAAATGGTCTCAAAAGACTTGATAAAATTTATTGCCATACACATTATTTCACTATTTTTTCATTACCTATTTTTTTGTTATCACAGTATAATATTTTGTAATATAACATTTTCGTAATTATAACAGGAGTTTAAAAAAATTGAAAAATATTTAATTTTATTTCCATATAAATTTAAAACTGAAGCAAATATCTATATATGCCTATAAGTTATTTCGTCCAAACTTTTGATAAAATATATTTCTAAATAAGATTGGGCTATATAAAATGATAAATTGGTTTATGTACATGAGTGGGTGATCATAGCGTAAAATATCAGTATTTCCTAAAAACTTAATTAGAAAAATGAAATTTTCATTTTGTTTACGAAAATATGATGAAATATCAATATAACTGTATGAATAAATCTGCTTCTAGTCTTGCTACTATTAAAATTCATCAATTTAAATTAAAATTAGTTGCATGAATTCGACTGAAAATTCAATATATGCATTTCTTTTTACAGAATTTAATATTAATCGAATTTTCAATGGTAGCTTAAAACTGACCCCATATATTCTATATGTACGAGTATCTAACAGGTCAGCCTTCTCGGGAGTAAATCAAAAATTATTAATGAAAAATTTTACTACTAAAATTTTTTTTAATTTAACAATTTAAAAGAAAACGTTCAAACCAATTTTATAAAAAGATGAATATAAGATTATAAATTTTACAGAAAATTATTTTTTAAATTAAGATTTTAAATTTACAGGTATTGACATGGACATGACACATTAGAACTGTTATAGTTAACGATTTTTCTATAATATTATATATTATTTGCCTACAAGAGTAATTTAATTAATCGCTAACAATGCATATTATAAATTACAATAAATATATTATTGTGGTAGGATATAATTTCCAAGGACTATACTTTACCTATATACATATTATATATATAAGCGGTCAATGCAAAATTCATTCCGTGGAAAATATTCCTATTAATGTTGAGTAAATGGACAGATTTCTATTATTATAATAGAAATAGACAGATTACAGATCCTCTCATACACAATGTGTATGTACATATATTTGTGCACACTTATATTCCTACACATATAATTTCATTTTATTATAAAGTTAATCAGTTTGATTGATAGTTTTGATTAGATATACGATGCCAAAATCGACTTTAATATCTTATCATAAAAATTAATGAATTGTAAAAGAGCAAATAATTTAGAAAATATCTGTGCTTATTGTGGTCTTTCAATTGTAAAAAACCAAAGCGAATGAACGAACGGTGAAATGAGAAATAAATTTATTAAGAATTTTTATCGGTTTTAATTATTAGTGTATTTTTTTGCAAATAGTTTTAAAAATTTGCTTTTGGAAAAAATTTTAAGGTTTATTTTAGAAAATCAAAAATAAAAGTACCTATTTCAATATATATAATAGTATATAATAGTGGTATTCATAGAGATTTGGCTTTCCCACAAGCAAATATTCAGACAAGGGATATAAAGAATAGACATTCCTCGACTTATTTAAGATAGGGTTAGGGCAGAAAGACTGAAACACACGGGATTACTCTAATTAGCCTAAAGTTCTGACACAGCACTTCCTTTCCTTCCTTCACGGATTTTGGACACAAAAACATGATAAAGCATAACTCATGATTATTGAAAACTATGCTGACCGAACAAGTGCGTTTTAGATAAGGTTTTGTTCCCGCTATCAATTGATCTGATGACAAACTGAAACCCGATTATCTCTTTCTGTCAATGATGCTTAACCTGTATTAGAAAATATAAATATCTTATGATAAAAAGTTATTCATTAGAAAAAAAATATTGCATACTTTTAGGATAACAATAAAAATTTGAAATAAACTTAACAAAATGGTTACATACGACTGCTAATTAGCACCGTAAAGTTAAATAATTTTAGTTATAGTTTTAGAAAGTCTACATTCGTTGAAATTGTAGAAAGAAGCTGTTATTTTTCAGCGACGGTGG